TGTTCTGTGTTTCCTTTCCCCTACTTTTGTTTTCTTTTGGAGTGTGCAGTTTTTATGTTTCTCTTTTATCTCATTTGTTGGCTTATTAATTATAACTCTTTTCGTTATTTTAGTGTTTTCTTTAGGGATTATAGTATACATCTTAAACTTGTATATACTCTACTTCCAGATGATATTATATCACTTCATAATATAGTATAATAATTTCACAATGGTATACTTCCATTTCTCCCCTTTGTGTTGGTGTCATCATATATTTTACTTTTTCAGACACTATAAACTCCACACTAGTTGTTATTATTGTTATTTAAATAGTCAATTATTTTCTAAAAAAGATTTAAATAGTATGAAAAAAATCTTGTTAAAATTTGTCCATGTTATTACAATTTCCAGTGCTCTTCACTCTTTGTATAAATCAATAATTGCACCTGGTCTATTTCTCCTTCTGTCCAAAGTACTTCCTTTAACATTTGTTATGTCCAAATCTTCTGGTGATTAATTCTTCCAGCCTTTGTATGTCTGAAAAAGTCCTTATTTCACCATTGCTTTTGAAAGATGTATTTACTATAGGATTCTAGGTTGACAGTGGTCTTATTTTAGTAAATTAACACTGTTGCTCCACTGTTTTCAAACTTGTGTTGCTTCCAGCAAGAAATCTGTTATTATGTCCTCTATTATGCAGTATGCGTTTTTGCACTGGCTGCTTTTACGCTTGTCACTGGTTTGGAGCAGCTTCATTTTGTTGTATCTTCATGTCGTTTTCTTCATGTGTCCTGTGCTTGAGGTTTGTTGAGAGTCTTGGATCTGTGGGTATATCATTTTCATTAAATTTTGGGAAAAAAATTGTCTATTATTTCTTCCAGTTTTTCTGGTAGCATAGTGGCTAAAGCACTTGACTGCTAACCAGAAGGCTGGCGGTTCAAACCCACCAGCCACTCCTCGGAAGGAAGGTTGGGCAATCCTACTTCCGTAGTGATACTGCCTCGGAAACCCAAGGAGGGGTCGCTATGAGTCGGGGCCGACTCGACGGCACATAACAACAACAATTAATTTTTAAAATTTATCTCTTTTTATCCACTTTTCACACAAAGAGATTGACTCACCTTATACATACACAGTGAGATTGATATAGCTAGATAATTGTTTTTTTAAAAATTGCTGTTTAGTCGATTCTGACTCATGGCAGCCCTACATGTGTCATAGAACTGTGCTTCATAAAGTTTCCACAGGCTGATTTCTCGGAATTAGATTGCCAATCCTTCTCTTCCCCATTTTTTTTTTTCTGTTACTGACCTCTCTCTTCTCCTTTGTAGACCCCAATTATACATTTACTAGACTGCTTGAAGTTTTCCCACAGCTCATTGATGCTGCATTTATTTTTTAAAATATTCCTTTTCTCTGTGTTTTTAATTTGAATAGTTTTTATAGCTATGTATGTCTTCAAATTTGTTAATTTTTTTCTTCTGCAGTGTCTAATCTGCCATTAAACTCAACTAGTTTATTTTTTCATCTCAGTGTAATTTTCATCTTTAGAAATTTAATTTGAGTATAGTTTATATGTTACATTATCTCCACTAAGCTTTTTGAACATAATAGAATGCAGTTGTAATAATTGTTATAAATCCTTGTCTGCTAAATCCAATACCTTTGTCAGTTCTGGGTCAGTTTTTTTTTTTTTTTTAATTGTGCTTTAGGTACAAATTTACAGAGCAGAATTTGTTTTACATTCAACGTTTCGGGTACATTTGCTTTCACTCCCCAATTACCATCCTCAACCCTAACCCCCTCTCCTCCTTTCCCTTCTCAGTAAACCACTCCCCCCACCGTGTCCTTCTTAGTTATGCACTCCTGTCTGTCCAGCTTTTCCTCCTGTGTGACTGTTGCCCCTCTGGTGCCCCATGGCCAATTGCTCCAAGGGATGTATCTCCGTAGAGGAGGTAGGTGCCTCACCCTGGGTTGAGTGTTCTGCATGTAAGTCTTATTTACTGTTGGGCTAAGAGCCAGCCCTTGCTAGTGAGATTTATCCCAGGTCCAAAGTATATCCCAGGGCCATAGTCTTGGGGGTCCCACCACACTCCATCCGACAAGTAATTCTGGTCATTATCGTGTTTTTGGATTTTGTTCCACATTTTTCCTCGCACTCTATCCAGGATCTGATCCCTTCCCAAGTGGTGGGCATTGGTAGCCCGGCATCATCTAGTTCTTCTTTTCTCCAGGTCCATCATGTCCTAGGGCTGATTGTTTCCAAATGCCCTTGGCTTTCTTCACTCTTTTTTGCTTTTGACCATAGGAGAACATTAGCTGCATGTTGGATGGCCACTCGAAAGCTTTTAAGACCCCAGTTGCTATTCACCAAAGTAGATAGTGGAAAAAGATTTTTATATATTTTGTTGTGCCAATTGAGTCTGGTGTCCCCCAATACTATGGTCGTGAGTTGGCAGATCCTGTGGATCTCTCTCACACAGTGTCTGGCTGTCTATGAGGGATTGCTCTATGTCTGTCTTCGGTTGCTTCTGTAATGATTGTGGGTATTTTGTATCACTAGTATCTGTGCAAGATAAGCCTCAGCTGAATCTACCATTGGTCTAGAATATATTCCTGTTCACTGATCCCCTTCTGATCTTCTCCATTGTCTATGTGTTTATCTGTAGCCTGGTGTTTGGTGTTAATGGTAATGCAGTATTGTGGATATACTGGTATCAGACTCTGTCATCTCTATCTCATGTGCACAATTTGGTGTCCTCCCTTTCCCCAGTGTTATCATGCTGGTCACGGACTCTTTCCATACCATCCCTCCCCTTACCCAACTCAGCGTGTGGTCCAGTTCTGAGTCAGTTTTATGTATGAGTGATTTCCCCCCCCTATTTTGATCATATTTTCCTGCTTCTTTGCATATCCCATAATTTTTAATTGGATGCATTTTACTTTGTTGGATGGTGGCTGTTTTTGTATAAACTATAAATTTTTAGATTTGTTGTGAGACTCAGTTAAGTTACTTGAAAACAGTGTGATCCTTTCTGGAAAGATGTGCTAGGTGAAACTGTGTTCAGAGCCACAGTTGGTGGTAAGGATCCCCATTACTGGTATAAGACTCTTCTGTGGACTCTACCTAGTACCTCATGAATTACTAAGTTTTCCAGTTTGGAAATTTACTTAATCTGTCTGTTAAATAACTGTTTCTGGCCCCATGTGATCAACAGGTACTCTTCCCACTATTCCTTCTTGGTGGTTCTTTCCTTGTTTGGGTATTTTTCTTACATGCTCCTCTCTGGTATTATGTTCTGCAAACTTTAGTAGTTTAGCTCTCTGTCTGGACCTTCAGCTCCATCTCATCAACTTGAGGTTTACTGAGCAATGCCTGGATTGCCCCTTCATATACTGTAATTAATAATCTCTCAAGGCAGTTTAAACTAAGAAATTACACAACTCATCTATTTACTGCCTCCCAGGGTTCATTGTCCTTTTTTGTCTGATACCCAGTATCTTGAAAACCATTGTTTCATATATATGTGTGTGTGTGTGTATAAAATATAATACACACACACACACACACATATGTATATTTAAGTTTTTTTTTTTTCCAGTGCTTTAGTTGCTTCAAGTGAGACAAGTAAATTAATCCTTGTTACTCCATTTTGGCCAGAAATGGACACAAAAAAATGGAAGTTTGTATCTGCTCTTTTAAGTTAAGTTCTTCATATGATTAGGATGCAACCACCCTAGCCCTAGTCTGTAGGCTAGCATTTGAGAACCACTGCTCTAACCCCACTGGATTATTTCTCACTGGTCTTCAGTCATCCATTTACCTTTGTTTCTCTGTCTTTGCTTTCCACTTCCCTGTCCTGAGCACTTTCTTACATTGTTTAAATCTTAAAGGTTGAAAGTTTAATCAAAATGCTATCTCCTTCTTCTCAGAGGAGTGTGGCCTCCTCCTCTTTGCAGAGAAAGTCATTCCTTCCTAAATGCTAATTTAAATACAAATTATTATTATTTTTTTTTATCATAGCAGTTACATTCTGCATTTTGTGACTATTGTTTACTCATTCATTTGTTAAGATCCCCAAGGTCAGATCAGACATCTTGTCTTTCTTGCACAAAGAGGCGTTGTTGTATTCAATTTATATTCGTTAAGGAATGAAAGAGGGCCTTGAACATAAGAGACCAAGCAGTTAAACTAAGTAACAGAGAGAGAACATCTTTAGAGTTAGGTAAGGTGCCTGGTGGAGCCTTGTTTTGGTCCAGGCAATTTAAGATTGAGTTAGCAAATAGATTTTATCTTGCTTGGTGAATCTGATTGAATAGTGTGCTGAGAAGAATTCTGAGGCCACATTCTGACTCCATGAGAAAGACAGCCATGATTGCATCTGTCATGGCTGTGGGAAGAGGAAGTGGTTATATGCATGCCATGCATTTTTCAACACTGATAACAGCATTATCTTTTGGTTGAAGAGATATGATAAAAATATTTTCAGATTAAAAAGAATCATGGTCTGAGAAATGATTTATGAGCTGCTTTGGGAATAAGATTAGATAATAAAATGTTGGAATGTTTCAGACGTTTTGATACTTTTGGCTAAGCATGGGGGATAGTTTTAAATAACAGCTAAGAGGCTTTTAACACATCAGGCGTCATTCTGAGCACTATACACGTATTGACTCATATTCTTCCTGTAACAATCTAGTGAGGTAATTTCTATTAATATCCCCATTTTGTAGGATAGGGATAGGGAGGTTAAATATCTTGCTTAAGTCATACAGCTGATAAAGTAGAATCTGTGCTCTTATAATTGTTATATTGCCTTTCTAAGGAACATTTAATGTTTCAGAAAAATTGGGGTAGTTACCTCATAAAGCTGTACTTCTCTAGTATGGGACACAGTGAATTGTTGCTTGTTAATTTGGAAATGGCCTGAATACTGCAAACTCTAGCCTTAGATTACAAATAATTATTTTTCATAACTCTTATTGTCATGCTTGATCTTTTATGTTTACTTCTTTAGGATCTCTTGCCAGCTCCATCTTTGACCCACTCAAATACCTTGTGGGTGCTTCAGGAGGAGTCTACGCTCTGATGGGAGGCTATTTTATGAATGTTTTGGTGGTAAGAAGTTGTTTGGGGAATGGGATATATGAATTTTATTTATTTATTTATTGTGATTTGGTTTTTTTTTTTTAAACAATAGCTGGTATAATTGATTCTTGTTATTTGCAGGGTTTATGTTCTATAAAAGGCCTTTACATGGCACAAACTGTTGGCCACTCATTGGCATCACAGAAGAAAGCCCCTAGTGTAAAAATGGTGGCATGGTGGGGTCGTCTGACCTCCTCTAATTTCATGAGGGGATAAGAGAATCATTATCAGCATCAATAGCCCGAAGTTGAGTCCTAGGAAATGTAGGTTGGATATACTTCCTCTTTCCAACCTTTTAAACAATTCTGACACCATCCCTGTCTCCCCCAGCACTCTCTGTTTCTCTAATGGATTTGATAATTCATTGCAATGGCAACACAAATGCACAGATAATACTTATGTTTAGGGTTTATTAGGAGCTCTGTGGTGTAATGTATAAGGCATTTGGCTGCTAACCTGAAGTTCAGTGGTTCAAACCCACCAGCTGCTCTGTGGAAGGAAGATGGGGCAATCTACATCTGTAAAGATTTACAGCCTCGGAAACTCAATGGGGGTCGCTATGAGTCGGAATTGACTCTATGGCAGTGAGTTTGTTTGTTTTGTTATGTAGGGAAGTAACAGGTTATAATTTAGGATCAGGGATGGGATATAGGTCTTCGATCAGGACAGCTTCTTGGCTGTGCCCACTGGCAGGCCTCTCTCTGGCCTTCAGCTCCTTGGCCCTTGGGCCTTTTGGGCTAGGCTGGCACCTGCTATGCTCAGGCAAGAGTTACAAAGCTCTTTTTTTTTTTTTTTTTTAAACTTTTATTGTGATGAAAACATAGACAAAAGATATTCACCAACATAACAACTTCTATATTTACAGCTCAGTGATATTGATAACCATTATTGCTATCCTTTCCCAAAATATTCTACAACCATTAGCATAAGCTCAATGCCCTACACAAAAAAGCTGCTCCTGTCCCCCTCCCTCCTACCCTTGGTAACCACTAATAAATCCATGTCTATATGTATTCCATATATATTTACATATATTCCAAACTCACCACTGTGGAGTCGATTTGACTCATAGCAACCCCTTCTTGCGTTTCTGAGGCAGTATCTCTATGGAAGTAGATTGCCCAATCTTCCTTCCGAGGAGTGGCTGGTGGGTTTGAACCACTGGTTAGCAGTCAAATGCCTTAGGCACTATGCCACCAGGGCTCTCATGTATGTATGTATGTATGTGTACACACACACACACACACACATACACACACATACCCAGGAATATCCACCCCCTTCCCCTCCCACCCCTGGTAACCAACCAAGAAAGTTCCCTTCCATGTATCCATGTATAAACTTTGCCTTGACTTTTTACAGTAGTGGACTAATACAGTATCTGTCTTTCTGTGATTGACTCATTTCACTCAGCATAATATCCTCCAAGTTCATTCACATTATGTGGTGTTTTGCAGATTCTTCTTTTGTGTTAAATAGCATTCCATTGTGTGTACGTACCATAGTTTGGTTTTCCATTCCTCTGTTGATGGGCACTTAAGTTGTTTTCATCTCTTTGCTATTGTCAATAGTGATGCAGTGAACACAGGTGTGCATATGTCTATTTGTGTCCTGGCTCTCACTTTTTTAGGATATAAACCTAGTAATGGGATTGCTGGATCAAATAGTATTTCTATTTCCAACTTTGTAAGGAATTGCCATACTGTTTTCCACAATGGTTGTATCATTTTACAGTCCCACCAGCAGTGTATGAGAGTCTCAATTTCTCCACATCCTCACCAGCATTTGTTATTTTTTGTCTTGTTGAACTTTGCTATTAATATTGGGGTGAGATGGTACCTCATTGTTGTTTTGATTTGCATCTCTCTAATGGTTAATGATCGTGAACATTTCTTCATGTGTTTCTTGGCCACCTGAATATCTTCTTTGGTGAAGTGTCTGTTCATGTTTTCTGCTCATTTTCTAATTGGGTTGTTTGTCTTTTTAATGTTGAGGTGTTGGAGTTTCCTATAAATTTTAGAGATAAGTCCTTTGTCAGATATGTCATTGCTGAATATTTTTTTCCCAATCTGTAGGTTCTCTTTTTACTCTTCTGGAGAAGTCTTTTTATGCACAGAAAAATTTAATTTTTGGAAGGTCCCAATCATCTAGTTTATCTTCTGCTGTCTGTGGATTTTGGGTTATTCTTGATGGTCTACTTATGCCATAAATTAAGGCCCTTGAGTTTGCCCTTATTTTTTCTTTGATGAGCTTTATAGATTTAGGTTTCACATTTAAGTCTTTGATCCATCTGGAGTTAGTTTTTATATATGGTGTGAGGTATGGATCTTGTTTCACTTTACTGTAAATGGATATCCAGCTTGCTAGCACCATCTGTTAAAAAGACTATCTCTTCCCCATTTAATGGATTTCAACCCTTTGTCAAAGATCAGCTGACTATATAGGTGGATGGATCTATTTCTGGGTTCTTAATTCTGTTCCACTGGTCTATGTGTCTGATTGTACCAATACCAGGCAGTTTTGACTCCTGTGGCTGTATAGCAGATTTTGAGATTCAGGAGTGTGAGGCCTCCTACTTTGTTCTTCTTCAGGAGTGCTTTGCTTATCTGATGTTTGTTTCCTTTCCATATAAAATTAGTGATTGGTCTCTCCATGTCTTTAAAGAAGACTCATGGAATCTGGCTTGGGACTATACTGAATATGTAGATTGCTTTGGGTAGTGACATTTTCACAATGTTCAATCCTCCTATCCATGAGTATGGTATGTTCTTCCATTTATATAGATCTTTTATAGTATCTTGAAGTAGTGTTTTGTAGTTTTCTTTGTTTAGGTCTTTTTGGTTTTGTTTTGTTTTAACAAGCAGAAATTTATTTTCTCACAGTTAGGAGGCTAGAAGTCCAAATCCAGGGTGCTGGCTTTAGGGGAAAGCTTTCTTTGTTCACTCTGGAGGAAAGTCCTTGTCTCTTTGGAGCTTCTGCTCCTGGATGATCTTCATGTGACTTGGCATCTCTATTCCCCCATTTCTGCTTTTGTTTGCTTGTTCAATCTCTTATATCTCAAAAGAGATTGATTTAAGACATACCTTACACTAAGAGAAACACCCTACTCAGGATTATGGTGACCTCTGGGGCAGAGAGGGAGATGCAGTCAGGGCCACCTAGAGGTCGTCAACCGTGAGTTTTGTTTTGTATCTTAACAATGTATCTTTAACTGGGTGGCTGATACATACTGCATTGTTGGGTGCTGTGGAGTCAATTCTGACTTATAGTGACCCCATGTGACAGAGCAGAACTGCTCTATAGCATTTTATTGAAATATAATTTACATATAGTGAAATACACAAAACTTAAGTGACATGGGTCAATTTTTTTTTTTTTT